TTAAATATTGGTCGGTTTCAACTCAAAGTGTATTGTCTTAAACGATATTAATAGAAAAAAAGAAAATTAAAAAAACAATAGGACGCCTTTGTAAGATTTTAGCCACCACTATCACTGGCTACTAAATTACACGTTTTAAAATGCTACCTCATTTAACAATATAAATTATATGTTTTATTATGAAAATGAAATGTCAACTCTGAAACCATATGAAATGACTGTCAGCTGACATATATTTCAAATGCTTTGTTTGTATAAAGTTTAAACTATACCAATGCGTTTGTATACATAAACAAATATCAGCTGACAGGCTTTAAATTTATATATTTCATAATACTAATATAAACAGCTAGATTTTGAACCTCGATTTATAGGCAAAGTGTCTTCAGGATTTTGCAAATCAAATCATCCAACGTGACAAAATGCAATGCTATTGAAATGCAACACTGGTTTTGAACGTATAGATTTTCGAAATCCATTCGATCTGAAATGTCAATTCCATAGCGCATACGTTGAATATAATCCACTAGATTTGTGAATATGATTAAGGTGGTGTATGCGCAATTGAATTGACATTTGAGATCGGGTGGATTTAGTAGTCTAAACGTAGTCTAATATTCAAATGTATTTAAAATTGATAACTATCACATTACGGCACAAGATTTGTTATTTAAATTACAATTTATCTTTGTAAATGTCAAAAATAACTAATTGAATGTAATTTGTATCATCTCCAAATAGGTGCAGAATGTTAGAATTTATTTAATTATTTCGTTACTTTGGCATAATAAATAGGTACTCCATTTAGCGCAGTTGACTATTCCCTTAACTGTCAAAGTGCATAGTTTCTACTTGAATTCGACATGCAATGTTGCCAACCACGAAAAACTAAAATTACTAAATCTAAGGAAAAACAGATGTTTTTGTTTTGATCATGTGTTTTAAAGTACATTTACATATACGATTTTAAATCGACTCAATTAATGAAATCCAAAAATACAACCTAATTGTTTACACATAACTTTAATCATGGTCTAAATGTCAATCAGCTGATATTTGTTAGTATAAAAAATATTAATTTGCTGATCAGCTAATGTTTGTTAGTATAAAAAATATTAATTTGCGCCAAAAATATTTGTTTGCAAATTGAAAATTAAAAGAAAAACTACAACAATGGAAATGTTTTTGCAATGATGTTTGGAAAGTAAAAAATCTCATAATTTTTATTTTCCTTTGATTTTGCATTTGACAATCGTGGCAAATTTTATGATAGTTTATTATGATACTGATGTATTTTTTCGTACAAAAACTGCGTTGCATCACATCAGTATCATGATTTCGACCATGATTTTAAATAAACCCTGCCGTAAGATGATTTAAATTTGTATGATAAATCATGGTAAATTCAGCATGATTAAAAAAATAAAACCTGATTCGGCCTTAAATCATGATCAAATGCTATATGTAAATCTGCTTTTACTAATAAATAAATTTGGAATTGCCAATTTTGAAATGGCAATTCCAAAATCAGCGTTGTATTTGTGAAAAAAAGAAAATTTGTGAAAAATTAGAAATTGAATTTTTGATTTCAAGAAAATACATATTTTATGAACTGAGATATGTGTTTAATCCAAAAAATACTGCAAGATCTCATTTTAGCAATTATAATTAATTATAATAATTAACACTACAATTATAAAGCGTATTAATGTCGTCCTTTGTAGACACAATAGAATTACAATCAGCTGTTTGAATTAAATTATCTCATTTTTTGTTTATTTGAAGGAATATTGTCTTGTGTAAACCCCAAAAAATTGGAAATTAAAAAAGTATATAAAAAGGTATGAAAAGAAATACTGCAAGATCTCATTTTGGCATAATAAATCAGCTGATGGGGTTTTTAGGGCTTCTTTTCGGATTTATACGATCTCAAAGGTATAATTAATTTCAAAATTAGAAAGCTTAAACGGCATATACATTAGAACTTTTTAACGGGTTAACCAACTTTATGAGGATTTATTTGACATATATGCAAAGGAATTGACAATTCAAACCCACTGGGTTAAATGTAAACGAACGTATCATTAAAATCCGTGATTAATGACCATGATGCAATAATAAGATGATGCACCATAACAAAAACATATGTTTTTTATTCGACAATCTGTAAAATTTCATCTAGTAATATTTCTCAGGGTTGGCAATTGAAACCCACTGGGTTAAATGTAAACGTTCGTATTATTAAAATCCATGATTAATGTCCATGATGCAATAATAAGATGATGCACCATATACAAAACATATGTTTTTTAATCGACAATCTGTCAAATATTATCTAGTAATATTTCTCAGGGTTGACAACATTGCACGTCGAATTGAAGAAAATGTGAACTTTGACAGTTAATCGGATAGTCAGCTGCGCTAAGCGGAGTATCTATTTATTGTGCCATAATATCGTCATTGACAGAAAAAAATCACAATCAGCTGTTCGAGAATAATTAATTCCTTTTTATGTGTTATCCAATCAGAGTTGTATTTGACAAAAACGTATGTTGTGTGAACTGCTTATAAATTCGGTAAATTAACTTTCTTATTATAGTAAATACATCTGTTATGAATTTAGATCCGCCTTTAAACACAAAAATAATTGCCGGTTTTACTATTATGTTTGTGCTAATTATTCTTTTATTAGATACAGCAATATTTCACCTTGGCATATATAGAAATAAAAAAAAACTAACTAATTAATAATAAAATTTCCCACAGTTCATGTTGGTTAATTAAACACAATTCACAGATACGAACCGGTACAAATTTTTGATATAGTATATATAAATTACCTTTTAGTTTCTAGAAACTTTACGATACGATTAGGAATTCTGAACACAAATCCGTTAGGGTATTTTTCCGCACCACAATTTTTTATGACACTTATTTCTTATTTTTTTACTAAAAATCCTTTTTTATTTTTTCGATTTTTATTATATTTCAAATTATTCCACAGAAGTTTTCTTAACAGAAATTTGAAAAAAAATATATATTTCACCTTTTTCACACTTTGCTATGCTCCACACAAAAATAAGCGTGATGATACCCGGCTCAAAATAATTATTTTTTGTTGCTTTCCGGTAACAAAAAAAAACGAAAACACAATAACTGAAAAACTTTTTACCCCGCCTTTTTTTTTAGCTAGGAAAATGTAAATAAATCTAATTATTGTGTTGAGTTTTCAAATTCGTTTTCGATATTTAATGTTTGGCGCGCATTTATTATAATGATGTACGAGTACGCGTCGTCGTTTTTTTCAGATTTGATACGTTGTTAACAGTGGCGCGTACATTTAGTGACTGACTTTTTTATTAAAACAGATCGTGCAAAAAAACTTATTGATTTACTAAACAAAAACAAAAAACACAACAACAGCAACAATGTGTGATGATATGTACGGAGAGTGACAAACATATTGTTGTTGTTGCTGCTGTTGATCGTTGAGCCGCCGAACAACATCAAACTCGGAATAAAAAAGGCCAAAAACAATCACCACCGGCAGCAGCAAACTTTACCGAGACAGAGAGTAGCCAACAGCAGCATCAAGCGTTAACAACAACAACAAAACAGCAAACAATTTAAACGTCAATATTGTGTTCAATTAACAAGTGAATATGGCTTGACGCAAACTCAGCAAAAAACTATTCATTTGTTACAAAGCGCATGCGCTACTGTCTAGGCTTTGTTTACATTGAACACAGTGGCTCGAAATCGGACGTAATTAAAATATAGGAACACAAAAAGAAAACAAATTTGAAATTAATATTGAAATTATTCAAAACTCACAAAATTGAGATTTACATAGAAAAATAACCAAATATATTTGTTTTTCGAAACTTGGATACTTTTTGTTCAGACCATGGCACAATAAATTTGTAATTCATTTAGCGCAGCTGACGACTCGATTAACTGTCAAAGTGCATATTTCATACTTGAATTCTTTGTGCAATATTGCCAACCATGTCAAATATTATATGGAAATATACGACAGGTCTCGACCATGGCACAATGAATAGGTAGTCCATTTAGAGCAGCTGATGTCTTGATTAACTGTCAAATTGCGTAATTTCTACTTGAATTCGATGTGCAATGTTGCCAATCATGTGAAATATTATAAGGAAAAATTTGACGGATAATCGAGACAAAAACAAAGGTTTTTGTTTTGATACATCACCTTATTATTGCATCATGGTTCAGACTATAAACCAGAGTTGCCTACAATATTAAAAAGTGATTTGAAAATAGGGTTCTATAGGTCTATTATAGATGGAATATCTCTCAATGTTTATAATGATTAAGGGGATGAGAGCTATTTAAGACAAAAAAAAAAAAAAAACGATTGCCCTAGGAGGTGTTCTATGAGGAAATACCCTACAAATTGCGAAAAACTCTAATCATAGAGTGCATGAAGTGGCCCATGACTAATAGAAAAACTATGGAGCACTACGAAGAGATCATGAGCATATATGAAAGCGTATTTTAGAAGAGTTAATTTATGTCGATGAGACACAAACCAGTCCAACGTAGCTATTCGATTATCGAACAAGAATTTTTAACAAAAATATCCGTTGTACGCGACGCGGGTTTCGATATTCTTAAATAATTAATCTTTACATTTCGAGATTTTGCTAGAAATTTTGCGGCAAAAGTAAAAAAAAACCCGACCACGTAATCTTCAGTAGATTTTAAAGTACGATTGTATTTACGATTTGTTACTTAAGTTGGGCGCCAACAACTCAATGAGGATCATTTGAGGTATTGTCAAAGATGGGACCTAGATCTATTAATATAGTCATTCAGGAAGCGAAAGTCAGCTGTTTTTTCTCAAGTCTAAAGTCAACACATTGGACTTTGTTTATGTTTTCATAATTGAAGCTAATTCACAATAATCGATGTTGACAGCAAACTTGAGAAACATCTGATATCCAGGTGGTCTCCTGGAAGCGAGGAACCTCATTTTGTAACCGTTCTTGGGTGACGCGTGCTGAGTGCGATGGCGCTGAGTCCTGTTGGAATATCTAAGGTCTGCGTCCAAAATGTTTGCCTGCCCAAGGCTTTAATACAACCTCCAGAATATTTTCGCGATAATATTCGGCATTTATTCGGTCGTTCTGGTGGCTGACTTCTTTGGCAAGTAAACACGATCGTTTTGTTTGTTTACAAACTGCTGGGCAACGAATGTTTTCTCATCTGAGAAAACCAAATTCGGCAGTTCACCATTTTCGGCCAAGCCAAGCAACTGTTTAACTCTGTTGAGTCTATTTTCTTCCTGTTGCGGTGTAAAACGGCATTTACATTAGAACTTTTTACCGGGTTAACCTACTTCATGAGGATTTATTTGACATATACACAATGGAATTGACAATTGAAACCGACTGGGTTAACGAAATCCGGTATAATGTAAACGTACTATCAGTTCTTGTACTTTTTGGAATTTCAGTGGCATTACGCCGAGCTAATTTTCCAATATTTCCGAATGGAATATTGTGATATTTTCAGCTCACGAACCATTTCGCGGCCACTGCGACGTTTCGATTTCGATCAAGTCGCTTCTTTACTTTTCGAACCATTTCTGCTGATGTTGCTGATTTCTTCCGTCCACTTCCATGACGTCGGGCTACGCTGCCAGTATTACGGTGACCAGCGATGGTATGAGACACAAAAGATTTATTCACTTTGAAATGCTGGAGTGCTCTAGCGATTGCCACCTGTGGTTTTTCAGCCAAATACAAAGAAATCGCACTATCATGCTTGAATTCAGTCACGAATAACTTTTTTTCTGTAAAATTCTCACCAAAATGCTTTTTTACGCTTGTAAACAATATAATGAACTGTAATAATATTAACAGCTGTCGAACGAGTTTCATAGAAATGACAGCAGTCTGAAGTTGGTTGCAGTTGTTTCATCTCAGTTTTTTTTCTCGCATCTGTATTGGCTGTTCCAGAACCTTAGAGAATCTTCAACTAATAATGTTTCTTTTTCTTTTTGGATTTTTCCATTTATAATTAAAAAAAAACAAATTTCTTCCGAAACCACTGTGCCAAATCTAAACTTTCTGCATGAATGAATGAACATCTGTCTGATTTGATTGTTTTTTTTTCTGAGAAAATCTCATAGAATGTTGGTATGATGTAAACAATCTACTAATATAAAATTCAGATTAAGGAAAACATCAGAGAGAGCATGCACACATTTCAAAAAAGAGAAATTGAGTTGATTGTGACAAAGTAAAATTGACTTGGTTGGAACTGGTTGAGGAAACGTTTAGAGACAGTTTGATGACATGTAAGGAAACGCTAGTTTTTTTTTTGTTATTGTTGTTGTCGTTTGAGTTTATAAAGAATATTCTTACTGGTTTCCTATGTAGAGTATAGGGGGATTTCCCAGAAAAAAAATGTGTTATGACGCAAAAAACGGAAGTTTAATTCAACGTACACGAACAGAAAATCATGTTTGTAATATAAAATTCAATTAAACATAAATTTTTATTCCAAGTAATTTGTAGAGGAAATATTTAAGAATTTAATAGTAAATAAAATACGTCAAAAGAATTAACACCCCAGAGGGTGTTAAATCGAAGGTCATTGTGGTTCATAAACTATTGATTAGAATTTCAAATTGAAATTGCTAATTTATGATGTGTGACTAAGCACTCAGGATTTATGTTTCCATTCATATCTTTCTTATGAGTCATATATAAAAGTAACAAAATATTTCAAATGTGTTTTAAAAAATTTTGACTACCCTAAAATCAGATTGATTACAACCATGCCACAATAAATAGGTCCATCGGCCATTTAGATCAGCTTATTCATGGTACAATAAATAGGTAGTCTATTTAGCGCAGCTGATGACTTGATTAACTGTCAAAGTGCGTAATTTCTATTTGAATTCGATGTACAATGTTGCCAACCATGTGAAATATTATAAGGAAAAATTTGACAGATGGTCAAATCACCTTACTATTGCATCATGAGCTGACTATCCCATTAACTGTCAAAGTGCCTAATTTCTACTTGAATTCGATGTGACATGTTGCCAACCATAAGAAATATTACTAGATAAAATTTGACAGATGGTCGAGTAAAAAAAAACAGACGTTTTTGTTTTGATACATTATCTGCAATAGTACGAAGGCATATTATCATATCATCCATGGCACAATGAATAGAACTGAACAGCTATGTTTGATTAACTGTCATATTGAATTCATGCAATGCTGCCAACATTTTAAAATATTATAAGGAAAAATTTGTCAGATGGTCGAGACAAAAACAAATGTTTTTGTTTTGATCACCTGATATCCAAAGTGATGCCAAGTTGCATATTGTACTTAGGGTGCCAAACTTTATATAAGTGCCTTAAAAATCACAAGCCTTTTAACCCTTCAAACGTGAGGATATCCCATTTGACATAAACGACGACAACAGAAATGTAAACAAACATATTGTTTACATTTACCACCAATACAAAACGACTAACAACAACAAAAACAACACACATTTATCTCCTACCATACCTATTGCTGCCCATATTCAGTTATGGCCACTCTCAGCATAAATACCAAATTTGGTTACACGTTTCTCTAAAATCTGTTGTAAAAAAGGCCGTAAAAGATGGAGAGAGGGAGAAACAACAAAAAGCCCCAAACAAGAATTTCAAAATGACCATTTAAATCAATTAATGATTGACTACTGACTTTATGGTTTACATGCCAAAATAAAATTGGACTTCATGTTTTAAACATACTATTTAGAGATATACAATGGGGTCGAACGATGTGGGAAATAAATGTCAAATAGGCTTGATGAATTATATTGTCATATTAATGTACGAAAATACATATAAAAATATTATAAAACCAGGATAAGAGCATGTATGTAGTCATGGATCAGCGAAAGACTTAAGTCCAATAAATTTCTGATTTGACAAAAAATAAAAGGACGAAGCTTGAAATTCGGAAATATAACTCTAACTGTCAAAGTTGACAGAAATCGAAAGTCACATTTAACATCCACAGACCCTTTTTTTATTGTCCAAGATTCCTGGATCAGTCCGATGTGTATTTTACCTTTTATTATTTTGTCCATCAGGGCCAGGGTTGCCGTCTCGCTCCGATGGAGGTTAATCTGGATGACTTCTATCAATTGTCCTCCAGTAAACGGTTTTCTTGGGAGTTCGTAATCTTGTCCTCGGCTCCCTCTTCTTTGTTGCTGGGTACTTTACCCTCGCTGTTGTCCTTGGCTTTATCATCTCTGATCCTTGCCTTCCCGGTTTCGAAATAAACGGCATTGGACAAAATTTGCCATTGAAGATCTGTCGAAGCCTAACACAAATACAATCCCTTCCTCTTTCTTCTCCCTGTGAAAGACTTCCCATTTCTTCACATGCAGTGTCTTGTTTTGTAGTCTAAAAACCTCGAGCATGTGTTCCGTGTCGAAATCCCTGACCTAACCTCTGACAAAGACTGTATCCTTTTCTAATTGAGGAATGTCTTTTTTCCTCACCAGCTTGAGTTCCATTGTTCCATCTATGGGTCCGATGCTTGCCACTATCTTCCTCAGGGCTTTTATGCTTTTTGGAGTTTCAAATTCCAGCATTAGATAGCCCCCTTTGAAAGCGCAGCTATCCAGTTCAATAGAGTCCCCTCCTCCATAATCTTGCTGTTGACCGCATTTAACACTTCCTTATGGGTCAGCAGAGCTCGTCTCGATAGCATTTCCTGGCAACCTTGGCATAAGACGGCATCTGCTTACCATCTGTTGCTGTCATCTTCCTCTTTCGCAAATACCGATTGGTCCTTTTGGGATTCCCGGTCTTTGCGGAAGATTCCGACTCTGCACTCGTCTTCCTGAAATCAGAGCCAGCTTCTTCTGTCCTGCTCAGTGGATTCTCAGCTGGACTCAGCTTTCTCTTACTATCGGTCGACGGGAAGCCCTTTTTTGGCGGATTTGACAGTCGCCTGCTCATCCGAAGACCTTATCCTCTTCGCAGCTTCCGCAGAACTCAGGTTTATTCTTTTGAGCCTCTGTCTGCATCTCGCCCTTTATGTTCGTCCGGTTCATTATGGCTAATTTCCGCATTTGTGCCCCAGACAACTGATTCGTGCTAGTTGTGAGTTTGGCGATATCCTTACTCACCTCCTTTATCATATTGTCAGCCTCTTCTCTCTACCGGCTCCCCAATACGGTTATGTTTGTCTGATTATCATGATCAGACTCTGAGTTCGAAGTTGAGTTCCCTCCTGTCTCGAGAATACTCTTCCCCTGTGGTTCCTCAACTCCGAGTTGGTGTTGCCTGAAGGCTAAGTGCTTGTACCTATACCTTCGACAACAGATGCCAAGACACCCTTCTCTGTAGGAGATTGTTGCTCACGATCGCGGGATGACGACGGGGCGTGACTCGTGGGCAGATCAACGACACCCGCCGGTTATGAGTTATTTAGGCTCTGCACCGTAACTTTATTACCTGTTCCTTCTTTCTCCCTCTTTGTTTTAGGGGAACACCTCTATAGTTGGTTTTGGTCCGCGGGGACAGAAGCTCTGAAGGTGGGTGATCAAACTATTCGACCATCTGTCAAATTTTTCATACTAATATTTCTCATGGTTGGCAACACTGCACGTCGAATTTAAATATAAACGTATGCACTTCAGCTGCGTTAAATAGTGTTTCTATTTATTATGCCATGCTTCGTCCCCTCCTAATGTTCCAATAATGTGTGTCCACTGATGACAACTGACTACAATGTGAATGTGCTAATATTTTCTTGTACACTGTCATAGCGCATTCATGTATATATTCATTTAATCACCACGCACACACATTCATACAGCGACCGACTACAAAATGATCACGTGCAATTACCATCAGACGTTCATAGACATGTTGAAGGAGAGGAGAAGAAGAAGAAAAAAGGCAAAGTTTTATTCGGAAATTTGTTTGCCTTAATAGTTTTGGCGATCATTTTTACCTAAAACAAACTGTAAACCTTTTATATTGTGGTGGTCTAAGAAGTGAAGGCATAAAGGATTGAAATTGATGAAAATTCCAAATGGAATCCTAACAGGAACTCCAGGTCGAAAGACTTTATTAAAGGGGGAGACACATACCCGAGTTTTATGAAGAAGAATGGCGCCCAAACTCAAAATTGAAATAATATACCACCTCTTATAGATATGTGATCTATGATCTGAAGGCAAAAGGGATGGAAATTAAATTGAAAGATAAATATTTGGAATAAGACCTGTTGGGATTTTTCCAACCCTAAGAGGTTTTGACTCACTGCCAGTTACTGCAGGACCAAAGGCTGAGTTAAGACACATACCAGAATTTCAGGCATGGCTTATTAAGTTCCCATTAAAGGAGAATGGCGCCCAAACTCAAATTTGAATCTGATATTTCTTTATAAATTTTTGTCATTCTATATAATGCAACTAAAGAAAGAATGCCAAAATTCCCTTGAAGCTGGGTGAAAATGTTATCAAGCTGCGTTGCTTGGTGTACACGACTTGATTTTTCAAAAATTGAGTATGTTATTTCTCAAGTTAAAACTCAATAATTTGGACGTTATTTACGTTTTCATAATACGAAGTTAATTCACGATAACGTACTTTGACAGC